CATGTTACACAGACGGAACGTTTAAATTACCTATTGTGCAGGTTTTGCAAAATGCACTTCAATGTGGAATGTAACTCGACGGTGTACTAAAGCATCAGATGCTGTACCAAATATTACAGACAAAGCAAAACTCTACCCCGTGCCAACATGTGGAACTCTCATTGCGATCCTATCAGGCGATTACTTGTGATTATCAAACAATTACTTGAATTATGTGACAACCTAAATGAGACAACCTTAATGATACATTGAATGCATGAAAATTTAATTGGAATTAGGATGTCTGCAACGACATGCCATAGTCATTAAACTCGTTGCCTCAACATTGGTTTCTTTGCAAGGGGATAATGGGTATTATGGCCATGCGTTTCCACATTTGCATAGCTTACAGGTAAAACTGGAAGCGTTTCAAAGTTTTCAGTTAAAATATGCTAATTTATAATGTATAAAATTTATAAAATAAGCTAAATTATTTATGCTAGATAATTTATAAAATATGCTAAATATTTATTTGCTGCAGAAATGTTAGCAAGCATGAAAACTCATTTTGAACAGGATCTGAGAGTTGATGTAAGTAATTCATGCAGGATTGTTGCCGCGTTTTCTTTTACAATGTTTAAGTTACGATGGATGCTAACAAATAAGCAAGCTATCAGCCAAGAAATATTTGAAAAAGCCATAAAAGCTGCTTGGGAGCCGTCGACAGCAAAACTGAAGATTTTATTGTATATAATGATGACAAAGATGATTCAGCAAATGACAGTCAGAATACATATTGCACCAGAATAGTAAGGGTATTTTGATAATGTTTAAATGTTCTGAATATCTATTAGACTACTCTTTATGAATTTGTTTAGTTTTTTTTTTGGTTTAGGTGCCCCAAGAAGACCTAACGGACTTTTAAAGCGTGATATTTTAAATATATTTAATGCGTATTTTTAATGCGTTCCAACCGCTGCGCCACGGTTGCTCATTTTCGGTCACTATGTGTCAAATTCAAAAAATCGGCTCCGATCGAACAACTATTTAGAACAGCGGAACAAATACAAACGCCTAGGCGTAACTGTCTAAGTGATATAATTTTCAAAAGACTTGCTGCTAAAAACAAATGTGAATAAATGAATGAATGATATTTAAATGTAAATGTAGTATAATAATTTATAATTACTTTCAAGCAATGACAGTGTATATAAATAAATTTTGAAAATGGGCAAGTCGCGAATTTTGGTAAAGTATTTATTATTTGGTAAAGTATTCATTATTTTAAATACTTGTTTAAAAGCATTTTCAATTTAAATAAATAAAGTATTTGTATTTGTGTTTAAAGTATTTTTTTGCTCCAGTATTTGTATTTACATTTTAAATACTTTTGTAAACTTTTTTACCCAAATCTGGAAGTTAATCCGTTGTACGTAGATACAATTAGTAACTCCCCAATCCTATTTTACTGCCTAAATCTGCTCCCAAGGTATTTAAAACCAATTTAAGTATTTAAAACTAACACAGACCAATTCAATTCTAATTGTATAAATGTAGACTAATTTTATTTTACTAAGTTTAAAGAAAAGTTTAAGACTAAGTTTAAAGAAAAAAAAAATATATATATATATAATTATTCTGCAATTCCAAGGAGAATATTTTACTTTCCATCAATCGTCTACCAAATAGAAAACTTTCCACTCTTTGGATACAGTTTAAGGTTCTAATAATTTTAGTATTAAATTTGAAAACTAAATTACGTAAAGTTATCTTTAATTTTAATTTTTTTAATTCAAAACTATATTTGAGCTACATAATATAATTATGAGCAGCGACCATAATTTTTACATATTTTCTAAAATAGAGCGGGCATCATTTGAAGATCCGCTCCAGATATGCCAACAGTATACAATACAAGGATGGATTTGTACTCTGATAAGCTTTTGATAAATAGTTTTGAAATTATAGACGAGAGCTCCGGAGAAAATTTCTGCAAAAGTAAAAAAGGTATGTTGTGTGCTTAAAAATCCTGCTAATGCATCATATAAATTATCGTCTTAAGAAACGAGTTTTGCATAAACATTAACGTCGTATTTTTCAATAATTCGTTGCAGCACGTTTATTCTCATTTGGAATAACATTTCACCGGTTGGTTTTGACATCAACATTGACTTTTGCAGTCAAAAATCCAGTAGAAAATTGTCACGGAATCTGTAAAAATCGACATTTTCTACTTCTAAGTCATTTTAATTCTTTGTATCATAGCGTCTAGCTTTACCATATTTATATAAGCATTGACACTCTGTCAATGCTTAGTCACTCTGTCAGCTTAAATTCTAAAAGAAAACGTTTCAGATTTTTGTCAAAGTTTTAATTATTCCAACCGTTAAATTAACAATTCATCATTATTACTCGTATCCAACACCAAACTGGTAAATGACTTATCAACACTTCACAAACTGAAAACACTACGCTTTTGATTGATTTTTTTTTTTGAAATCCACTAAAATTTTATCGCGTATTAACTTTCATTCAAATGTTACTATTTATTTGAATTTTAAAAAGAATGAAGTTTTATTTTAGCTTGCCTTTAAAAATCATGTCTACCATAATTGAGAAATACTGTTCTATTAGCTCTTGGATGAATATTATATAGTGTGCTTGATCAACTATTGTTCAGGAGTTAGGGAGCACAAGTTTCATGCTATTGCACTTACTTCCCTGCATCTTTAAGCACTTTGAAGCTGCATGTTCTCTGTTGCCACAATTAAAACATCAAACTATTTTCTTCGGAAATAATATTTAAAATATTATATAAAAAATAATATGAACAGTTGTTTTTTGCAATGCGGTTCAACCCCATCCAGTTAAAATCTAGATAATCAAAATTCTTTGAAAAAAAAGTTAAAAAATCTGATACTAAATCTAAACAGATACTCAGAATTCTTTCAAGACTATAAATTAAAAAATATATATATATCAACTACACTCGTTTATGTGTATTATCTAAATGACTCTTAACTTTCTCAAACAATATATCAAAAACAATATATCAAAATTACACACAAAAAAAAAACACTTGATTTTTTCTTATCAATTTTAGTAATTATGCTGCTTGTTATGTCTAATATTTTATACTGAGCTTATTTTGAGTTTATTTTTTATTATGAGCTTAATTTAAAGGTTATAAAATTATAGTTGTACTTAATATATAATTATATTTAACATAATCATAATATATATCAAACACATTGTAAGGGCTTCGTGATAAGATCATTACGATCTTCTTGAAGTCCGGCCTGTACTATTTAATTATAAATTTCACTATATATTTTGACTCACGAGACTTGTAAATATTACAACTTTTAATTTACGAAACTTGTAAATGTTATTTACGGCAAATATATGAATAAAATAAATAAAAAAAATACTTTAATTTTTGTTGCATGGTATCTAGATACAGAGCCAGCAGCATTACGCTTGCATAATTGCAATGGCTTAAACCAGCTCCAATTTTGGATACCATAATGCTTTGCATGACTTAAACCAGCTTCTATTTTGGATACCATTGCATCGAATAGATCCATTACAGCTCAAAATTATGATGCTACATCTTGAGACAATCCTGCAAAAAATGCTAGCGAATAGACTCTTCATAAACTTTAGCAAGACAGGCCAATTGTTTCAAGTCAGCTTAAAACACACTAGATTTCTTTCTCTCATTTAACTTTTGTTTTATTAAAAGTTAAAACATGGTATAAGCATCCACAAAGAATGGCGTTAGTAACGCACACTTGAAACTCGTCTAATGCATCTATTTATCAATATATATTTGAGTTGCTTGTATTATATTTTTATTACTAATTCCATGTATTTTAACTATGTATTTATACAAGTATGAATTTATGCTCCTGGGATCATCAAACAAACAAGTAGGTAATTTTGAAAAGGAAATATTCTTTTTAGTTGGAACTAAAAACTAGATATAGAATGACGACAAGTCATGATATAAAGCAACTTAAACAAATATTTTTGCTTTTTATTATGTACTGACTAAAATCATACTGCAAAATTTTTGAAAAGTTTTTAAGCCAACCTGCAATCAAGATCACTAATTAACACTTTATTATGATCTTCATGATTAACACTTATGATTTCCATAAGTTTTTCTTTGATAAATAGAATTAAAAGTTTTAATTCTATTTATCAAAGAAAAACTTTGAAAAGCTCATGTTGAAAATAATTATGTTGAAAAAAGCAACGTTTTAATTTTTTTTTATCAGGTATTAACGCACATTAGGTCTCCAAAAAAGATTCATCAATCCTTTTACTTTTTTTTACCAATATTTCTAAATAATCTAATGAATAACTTTTTCAGCAAACTTTATTAAGATCGTTTCAAAAATATTGATTGCTACAATGATCGTATCAGTATAAGGCTTTATTTTTTTTGAAAGATTTTGTTGAAAGTGAATTTGTACATCAGAAATAACTAGAAATTTGAATTTTTAGGATACACAAATTCAATGTGCAATAACATTTGCACCCATGTTTCTAAGCACCACCTCCATCACCGCTATTGTCACCACGAGATTTTGCAATCGAATCCAACTCGTCAAAAAAAAGTACATAGGGAGCTGCCATTCTAGCCTATATTTAAGTAATCAATCATTTAAAAGTAATTGATCAATTAAAATTTCAAATCAAAGAGACCAATAAAAAAATCAATTTAAGTAACATAAAAAATTATAAAATATTGTAATTACAAGTTTTTATATTAAAATACCTTATCAAAAACATCTATAAAGTTGGCTTCAGATTCATCAAACCACATAGTCAACAGTTCAGGACCTTTTATTGATGTTTTTTGGCCAGGTACCATGTTTTAAGTTACTTCAAAAATACAACAAAAATCCTAGGTACAAGTTAGTACATTCAACTATTTTTACAGAAAAAAACAAACAAACAAACGAAGGAATAAAAACAATGGAAATAAAATTGGGGACAAAAACAACAAAACATTAACAGTATTTAAATTATATAATTCTTTCAAAATATTTAAGTTAAATCTCGAAATAATTTTATAAAAACTGCTACAAAAGTCTATTAAATATTCTATCAATTTATATACTAAAACGCAGGAAACCCTGGCATGGGAAATTTTGATGCAAAGGTTTGAACTCGAAGACGAATAGAATTTATTTCTTGGCGCCATTCTTCTTTTTCAAGCTCCGCTCGAAACTCACGTAACAAACTTTGTTTTCCAAGATGAAGAGACAACTCTATTTTTTGAGTAAGTTGTATACAATCATGTATAAAATCTGACACAACCAACATATCATTTTCTAAAAAACTACGAGATGTGAGTGCAGGCGTACCAATGCGAACACCACCTGGTCTAAAAGCGCTTGTGTCTCCGGGTACAGTATTTCGGTTAACTATAAATATTATAATATTCTCCAGGCATTAATTAATAAGAAAATAACAATATATATATATATATATATATATATATATATATATATATATATATATATATATATATATATATATATATATATACTATTAAAACACATTTAATACATAACAAAAATATAAAATAAAATAAAAAAAAGCAAACCACTTATGCTCGCCATTTCCATAATTGTGTCAACTTTTGCACCATCAATCCCCAAACTTCGAACATCCATTAGGAACATGTGGGTGTCTGTGCCATCTGTTACAATCTTATAACCTAAAATTTAAAGGTAAAATTTATTAAAGGTAAAATTTATTGAAGGTAAAAGGTAAACACCAAATATTCAAATTCAACAGTTCAAAAAAAAAATAGACATTAAATTACTAAATATAGAATATATGAAATAAAATTATAGTAGACTACATATTATTCAGCCGTTGGAGACTTTTTTTTTCAACACTTCCAACAAGGCTGCACGCAACCACTATTTGAGTTGGAAGTTATTTGAAGAAAAAAGATGAAATTTGTAGAGCAAGATAACGATTGACAGATGACTTAAAGGATTGCAAACTATATGAATCAGGAAAGCAAGATGAAGGAAGCGAATTCCAAAGAACTGAATTTTGAGGAAAAAAACTAGACAAATAAGAGTTTTTGGAGCACTTAGGGACAGTCACAGAAAAAGAATGAGACTTAAATGAATGACAAGTAACACAAGAATGAATTTCAGTAAAAGGCACAAGAGACGCTAGCTCTTTAGAGCAGTGCCCATTATAGTATTTGTAAAAAAGAGAAAAAAAAGCAACGTTACAACGATGTAATAATGGTTGGAGGTTGGCTGCAAAAGCAGGTCCAACTATGTTTACAATGCATTTTTGCACCTTGTCTAAAAGTGAAAGCGCATAATTGGAAGATACCACCCCCCAAGATATGGCAACAGTATTCCATACAAGGATGGACTTGAGATTTAGAGATAAAGAATAGAATCCTGAGTAAGAATGTGGCCAGCACGATAAATAGATGCAACCTTAGCAGATATTAATTTTGCAATCAATTTGATATATGGCTTCCAAGAAAGATCTGAGGTAAGAGTTAATCGTAGAAGATGATTGTTCTTCTAACGATTCACTCTCTCTTCTTGACAAGGTCCAAAAACGCATTGTAAATGTTGTTGGACCTGGACTATCTGCTAAGCTTGAACCTCTTTCACATCGTCATAAAGTTGCATCTCTATCTCTTTTCTACAGATACTATCATGGTCACTGCTCAAAGGAGTTATCATCTCTAGTTCCATCAACTAAAATTCATTCTCGTTTTACTCGTCATTCAGCTAAGTCTCATTCGTTTTCTGTATCTGTCCCTGCATGCTCTAAAAACTTTTATTCATCTAGTTTTTTTCCCCGCACTTCAATTCTTTGGAACTCTCTCCCATCTTCATGTTTTCCTGACTCATACAACCTTCAACTTTTTAAGTCTTCTGTCAACTGCTTCCTTGCTCTATAACTCTGTTCTTTTTTTTCTCCTAGTAACTCCCAACTTAATAGTGGTTGCTTGCAGCCTTGTTGGGAGTGAATGCAAATAAAAAAAAAAAAAAAAAAAAAAAAAAAAGAAAAAAAAGATGAAGGGCAGATGACTCATAGAGTACATTACTGTTCATAAATACAAGATCTAGATTATTGAGATAACAATAATTTAATAAAGTATGACACAACACTAGTATTAATTAAGTTAATGATACTAAAAACAACAAGAACTTTCAAGACACATTAAAATCCACAACCTACAGCGCATAAGTTACATACAAAGGGTGGCCAAATTTATTTTCTGGATACCCGCACAAAGTTATTGTTATTTAAACAAAACTCATAAAGTAAAGTATGTACAAAACTTCAAAAAAATCTGAAGTTTCAGAGAAACTTATTTTTGCAGTATTTGCAAATATACTTTATTATAATCATCATCAACTTTTACATTTAAATACAAAATTTTTTTTGATCAAATGTTTTTAATAAATATAAAACTTTATTGATTAATATTAATGTCATTATTTTGTGTCATGATCATTTTTGTTGTTGCTTGTATTTATAAATACTTTTTTTAATATGAAAAGTCAGCAACTATTTATATCTTTTAATTTAAAGATATTAACTTAAAATTGGATCTGATGAGCCTGGGAAAAATAATATCTGAAAAGATTCAACCCCCCTCCTAATGAGAAGGGCAATGAGTTGCTAGATGTTACTGTTAAGTTCAAATTTTTAATGTTCAAAAATTCAATAAATTATCTTTTAGTTTTTGAACCACTTTTTGACCTTGCACTACTAAAAAACAATTATTTCACAAAAGCACCAAAAGCTACTTCTTTCACAAAAATTTTTATAGCACATTTAGCACCAATAAATGCTGAGACCACTTGTTTATCAAAACTATATAAAAACTATATTCAATATTTTTTATATTTTAGCCAAACTTTTATAACTACAATCCATTAAAAAAAAAAAAAAAACTACAACTACTTTTATAGACCTTTTCATAAATTAATATTTGTCTGGGAAAATATTAAAAGTAATTCTTTATACATCAGAACATCACCCATTAAATATCTTTTGAACTACTTTTTTGACCAAAAGTTTCAAATTTGCACCTAAGTTTCTCATTATTAAAAATAAAAAAATTTAATCTTGGCCACTCTACATCCCACTGCAGCATTATTACAATTATCTATTTAAATTTCAACAACAAAAAAGCAAGATAATAACAAAATACTTTTATAATTTTTGATTTTTTAATTACCTGTTCTTTTAATAACACGTTTCAATTTAGTAGATGTGCTGTTCATTCTTATTGCACATAGTGTACTTTCTCCAATCTTTTTATCTCTCCCTAGTATTCTACCAATTACTTCACCAATTTTTCAACAGCCTATCATTGTTTCCAATACTTTCCAATAGCCTATCAATTTTCCAACTTATCATTGTTTTTAATTAAACCCTATATTTCATTTGAATGTTAGTGGTTAAGTTTGACAATATTCCATTTTCAAGTTCATTAACTTGAAATCGTTGTTAAATAGAAAACAACTTAACATAACCTCTTATTGCAAAAAAAGATGCACATATGAAAAAAAATGATATCAATTCTTGGTGTCAATTTAAAATGTATACTTCTTGTAATTCCACAAGTAACTTAAAAAAAAAATGTGCTCAACAAAAAATGAAAGAACCTAGATAAAAATCTTTTACATAAAATGTCATGCAGAGTCAACTTGTGTTATCAAAAGCAAAGACACAATTTACACAAAATTCAAGAAGATTAGACATTTTTACTACTTTAACCCAAAGCCTTCGCGAAGAAAAAGAGATGCAACAAAATCAATGATCATTCAGGTCATATTTTAAAAATCTGGAAAACATATAACAAAAAAAATCTAGAGAAAATCCAGAATTTATTTCCTTTATTTTGTCTTTATCTTTAAGCTGATAGAGTCCTAAATAACTTGAAACTTTTTTTTCTATTTGTACAGATAATGATTGAAAAAAATAAAAAACAAAATTTTTTGCAAAAAACAAGTAATTACATTTGTATTTATGGTAAACCTTTTATGTATATCCCGAAAAACTAAATGTTGAAAGAAATATCAGGAATTCGAGATATATCCTCATAAAGAAAAACTAAAAGTTGAAAGAAGTATTAGGAATTCCGGATCAAAATCCGCATAAAGTAAAACTAAAAGTTAAAAGAAATATTAGGAATTCCCGATATATCTGCATAAAGAAAATCTCTAAACTAAATTTTAAACTTTGTCTCGTAAAGAACCATCCAGTGAAAGATAATCCAAGAAGATAAAAAGTAACTCATTAAGACTGTTGCCATTCATCAATATAGGAATAACAATAATATTACAATAATAGATAGCAGTAAGTAACATTTTAATTAGATTAAAATTCACAAGCCATTGCATGTCAAAAGCTGTCATTGAAGAGAGATAAGCTAATTGCAACCAGAAAATAATGATATTTTGACAAGACTGAAGTATATAGATGTGTTGTGAGCAAACAGAGCCACTTTAAATGTAAGATTGTCAGGAAGACATTAATATAGATGAAAAACAGTAAAAGACTATGGATGGAGCCTTGTAGTACTTTACAAATTACTGGAAATGACTTGTCTTTGTAAATAACACTGTTGAAGATTTTCTTTAAGTCTCAAGAACCTAATTTCTAAGAATATATATGCGATTTACTATTTAGAGAATAATGAACTTTAGCATCAGACAATAACTTTTTGCATTAATTTCTTGCAATGATAGATGTTTGTTTTCTAGTGAGTTTTTCTTGAGGAATAGTTAAAAAAAGAATACAATTAGAAATTGCAGCAGCACACCTTAGAGGTAGAGTGAGGGTTAGGAAATAATATAACACAATTTTTTATCTATGCCAGCCTTATAGAAGAAGAGGTGCAAGGCTGGTCAACAGAATATTTCTGCCTACTTCTAAAGTTTTTACCTATGAGGTATTCTACAAGACAATAGTCTGATGCAGTTAATATCTGCCCAAGATGAGTACATTATTAAGACACCATATTTAGTTAGAGTTAAAAAGATTGAAGAGTTCTTGAAATAATTAGTCCATAAGAAACATATTTTTTCAAACTGATAAAATAATAATAATTGTTTAGTTTATTACAAATGAAAGAAATTAATTGATCAAAGCAAAAACAAATTTTTTGTCCATATTTAGTCAGTTACAACATCTAAATAAAAAATGCTTTTTTTTTTGTTCTAGTTTTAAGGTGTCCAAAAATCCTTACGGTCTAATCACAGTGCACCAAGCAATCAACTAGGAAGTTCACATCTCCTTTCTTACCAATGTTGCTTTTTGGACTAAAGTCAGCATCGAACCTTAGACCTCTGGATTTTGGGCCAGAACTCTAACCACTGCACCAAAACTGCTTAATCTCCATTTCTAATCCACCTTCTCTCATTAAACCGGGAGCTCTTTGAAAAAATTTAAGGCTTTACTTTAATTTAAGCGACATTATGAATCTTAAATTTGTTAGCGAAAAAATAAAAAATAATTATAACTTACAATTACAAAAGTAATAACACTATAATAGTGTTATTACTTTTATAACACACTTATAACTTTTAAAATTCATTCATTCAAGCAACATTAGTATTCCCAAATTTTAATTGAAGTAGAAAAATATCTAGAAGAATAAAGTGGATGTTCAAATAATATTAAAACTTGAATAATTTATAAAAACGTGACAAACAA